TATATGAAAATCTCCCCCCGTCAGAGTCTGGGGCATGCTGCAGGACCTGGAATCAAGTCCCCGCCCACCACCCGCACGCGCTTGGAAAACGCAGGAGACCCAGACCTGGCCAGCCCCACCCCCGTCGAGCCCCTCTGGGTCGGGGGGTGCAGCCTCAGGTCCCCGTCAAGCCCCACCAAGGCAGGGGGCACAGCCTGAGATCCCCTGTCAAGTCCCGTGGGGTGGGGGGCTTGGCCTGAGATCCCTCGCCCCGGCTAGGTGCCATGTAGCTTCAGGTCCCTGCTGTCCGGTTGTGATGTTATGGCGTCCGGGCTATTTTGCATATTCCTCTACTATATAGACAGATAATTATGTATGTAGAAATATATAGAATTTAGGCAAAGAAAAACGTAATCTGGGGAGCTCTTCGGTTTTGAACTCTGTTTTAACTTTGTGGGTTATTTCTTTATTTGGCATGATGAACTGTCAAGAAAAAATACCATTTGCTTAGGAAAAGTGCATTGGTTTAACTTGTCTTCTGAGTGTTATTGTAACCTCAGATTTCTGGAAAAACTAAGGGAATTCAAGAGTTAAAAATGTAATATGAAGTTATTTCACCTTTCATGGATTCCGGAACACGTTAATTAAGATTCCTAACTCTGATAATTTTCTTCTTGAAACACTTGCTGCCCTGCCTCTGGTAGAAGGTTTGCACATTAATCATGATGCTCAGCAAAATGTCATGTGGGTAAAATATTTCGTAAACCTCATCTGCTGACCTAAGAGGTAGTGATGACATCTCAGTCACTGGTCATAAATCAGATCTGTTGGTTTTTCTTTGGATTCATTGAATGTTAGCCAATATATAGTACTTGCTGTGGGCAAAGTCATTCACTTTATGCATGATTTGCTGAATACCTTCCATGTGCCAGGAGCTCTGTGCTGTTTAACTTGGGACAGACAGCACGAATGAGATGCAGCCTTCGCCCTCGTGAGCTTGCAGGCTGCTAGGGAGGTGAGACGTGTACTAGTACATGTGCTGTAAGACAGACACTGAATCTGTTGGGCGGTTGGGGGGTTGGGAGCAGAGAAAACATCTTGAAACAAGTAGCATCTGATCTGGATAAGATTTCAGTAGACAGATTGTGTTAATGGGACTTTCTCCGCTTACACAGCGCGGAGATGTGCTCTCTCACTTACTGAGGGTCACTGCAAGGCTCCGCAGGAAGTAGGAAGGGCAGGAGAGCAGTCTCCGCCGCCACGCGGACAGGCCCCGCGGAGAATCAGACACTGCCCTTTCTTGTCCCTTCGTCCCATGGTCTGCACTATGGTCACTAAGCTCGCTTCCATCTTTGCCTCCACAGCAAAGCAAAGGGTATGTGTATCACCATTTCACTCCTCAAACTGAGGAACAAAATAGATCCAGAGACAGAGAAGCATGGAACAGACTGACAAATCTCAGAGGGAAAGGGCTGGAGGAAGAGATTAACCAAAGAATTTACATGCATAACATATGGACACAGACAATAGTCTGGGAGATTTTCTTAAGAGTTATTTTATGTGACGGTGCTAGAGCCCAGTGTGGTGAAGGCGGTGGGGGGAAGGGGATGGGACATCTGTAATACTTGCAATGATAAAAGTAAATTTTAAAAAATAGAGTCTGGCTTGGCTAGTCCCTGTTCATCAGTAAGCTGCCTGCTGCACAAAGTGCATACCCGCCACCTCGAAGGCTGCTTGCCAGCCCCTGGGTACGTGTTTTTGGCTTAGGGTCGCATTCCTTCTGTAAATCCATTGTGTCCAGGGAGTTGGGGTCACAATGGTATGGAGCAGTGCTTCTGAAATGTCAGCGTGTCTCTGAATCATCTGGGGACCTTGTGAAATTGCAGCTCTGATTCAGTAGGTCTCGGTGTGACATGAATTCTTTGTTTCCAACCAGCTCCCGGGCACTGCTCCTCTGACCGCACTCAGAGTAAGGAGGTTAGAGCACTGTGACCCCCCGTGTGACTGTAGTTACTCGGAGGACAGGCTCTGTGGGAGGTCTGTGCTTGTGAGATGGCACTGCATGTGGAGGAATAGGCATCGATAAATGAATGGAGGAAGATGCAGCGTTGATGTCTCTGTGTGGGTTAGGTAAGGCTGGTTCTGAATAGGGGAAAGGTCAGAATGAATAAGGCATCTTCAGACCAAAAAGTCAGTCATCAGAGCATTCGGGTGCAGTCTGAAGAACAAGGCTGTTGGGGTTGGCTGTTCATCCTTTTATCGTTTAATCCAGAGCAAAGCAATAGTTATTTTAATGTTTTCAGAGAGAGACGGGATTCATCTTTACTTGAGAGCTTGATGCAAAACTCCTTTCACAGTTTGCCGCCAAGTCTGTGTTGATAGTGAGGCTTGGCCGCGGGATCTGCAGGAGGACTTGTTGTTCAGGATGAGAAATGGATAGGAGTCCCTCGTAGGGACACCAACTGGCAGATGCCTTATTATTCTGGTGCCTCAGGAGAATCACACATTTCTCATGGTCTTCATTAGAGAGCCACAGAAGTGATTGCTCAGCACTTGGCCCCCAAAATCCTTGAACGTAACGTTCATAGAATTAATCCCAGTTTCAAAGCATCATTACATTCATCCTTCTGTTCATTTCATAAATATAATCTAAGACTGATGGATTAAAACCCAGAGAGTTATTTTATGTGACGGTGCTAGAGCCCAGTTATTGAGAATGATGAATAATGTCAATGAGAAAGGAGCTGAATTAAGTATTTAGACCCTTCTGACAGAATGGCAGCTACGTGAGGAAAAGCAGCATCTTCTGACAGCTTCCTCATTTCATTCATTACATTTGAAAATTACATTCATTGAGGCCCCATGTAATATTTAGGTCTTTTCTTCACAGTTCAGTGACATAGGGGAATGATCACTTTATATTCTTTTATTATCTGGCGCTCACGTGCTTTAACTTTGTCTTCTTACTTTAAATATGACATATTTTCACTTTAATGATCAGTAAAAGGCAAAAAATGGTTATTTTAAGTGACTAATAAAGTCCCTTTAAAAAAAAAAAAGTCAAGGATTATCTTAATTTATGTGAGTAAAATCTTGAAAAAGGTTTTTAAAGTTCACCTTATGTTGGTAATCATGTAAAATTCTGACTTACTGAATAGTTCAGTTACATGACCTTCTTTGCCTTCTATAATTTGGTTTTCAGTCGTCAAAGAAAGGATGCTGTTTAGTATGAGAAAGACTTTTGGTGCAGTGAGAAGAATGCCGGCCTTGGAACCAGGCAGACTTCTTGTTTCAATTTCTTTTTAAAACGTACTTGTGATACTACTATGGGCAAGTTATTTAATCTCTGTGAGCCTTAGTTTCCTCTGTAAACTTGTGGTGTTCATACCTCCTTTGCAGAATTATTTTGTTGATGAAACTAATGCATGTGATGCAGCAGTATAAACATTGCCATGTGACACAGTTTCAATAAATAAACACAAAGATTAAAAAATGTAGACAAAATATTATTTTGTTTTGATATAAATTAAAAGCAAAAGTACTTTTGTTACTTCATATTTGCATGGGAATAGCATTGTCTATTCTTGACATAAGTGAAAACAGCAGTGCTTTGAGTTATGATTATAATTGCCACTTAATTAATGTATATACTGGAATCACTGTTGTCAAAAAAAAAAAAAAAGTAGTTTTCCAAAAAGTAAGTAGTGAGTTTGTATTGTTTACCAAAAGAAATTCTGATTTTCAAAATGTAGTCAGTAAATTCACTCATGTGAAGTAATTAGTATGCAGAAATTCAGAGAAATCGTCAGTAATCAGTATTTTTCACAGTCAGGTATTTTGTTAATTCACTGTAATCTAACAGGTCGGAAAGTCAGCAACTGCCCATGTTGTTATTTTTCTGGTTTTGTTTTTTAAATTAAGTTTGTTTATTGAACAGATATTTCTTTCTTTCTTGTGTGTTAATCCTCACCCGAGTATATTTTTCTATTGATTTTTAGAGAGTGGAAGGAAGGGGGAGAGACAGAGAGAGAGAAACATCGATATGAGAGAGACACATGTATTGGTTGCCTCCCACATGCCTCTTGACCAGGACTAGGGATTGAGACTGCAACCTAGTTATGTGCCCTTGCTTAGAATCAAACCCGGGACCCATCAGTCTGAAGGCTGACACTATCCACGGAGCCACACCAGCTAGGGCATGCCCATGTCCTCTGAGAGTGGCGACCAGAAACATTGTGTAAGAATTAGGTACTCCACTGTCATTCAAAATAAAGGAACTCAGGTAAAGTCTTCCATGCCACATGGAGGACAAATGTTTTCAATGAACAGACACACACACTCTCACATACACTGCCACACAGTGAAAAATACAATGACATCTTTCTGATGATTTCCTAGCTAACAGGGCACAGAACCATCAAGACTGATATATATTTCTAATGGAATCCTTTATATTACTTTTATAATTAGCCTCCCTTAGATTGATAGCAAAAAAAGGAGCTATCCATTATTTCAGGTGGTTGCTTCATTGCAAGTGCTGGTATAGCAAATGCAGTATGTTTGCCAGTGTTTTTTCATTTGATGAAACATCTGGGGCGTTTTGATTTTTATAAAAGTGAATGAAGCCATTGATAAAAAGAGCAATGGAAATGCTTGGAAACTTGGTTCAAGAGAAAGTGAATTTAAAGGCCACCTCCTGAGTGTGTGGATGTGGATCAGGTTGTATTCTGTTTCAATCTGGGAGATTTTCTTAAGACCAAATTGATTTCCAGAATGTCCCAAGTGTTTAATTCTAGTGTAGCCTACACACAGCCGAATCATCCATGCCAAAGCACTGCTTTCCTCCTTTAATAACAGAACAGTCATATTGCGTTGTAGTTTACGTCTTGGAGAGGGGGATATACTTTAAATCTGGATAAATGATAACCGTTTAGCTAATTTCTCCAAGCATCACCATTCTTATCCTTTGGACTCTTTCAGCATTTCTCAATTCATGCTTAACCCTATGTTTCTTTACACAGATCCAGTGCCCCACTTGCCAATTCGTCTGGTGTTTTAAGTGCCACTCTCCTTGGCATGAAGGTGTTAATTGCAAGGAGTACAAAAAAGGAGACAAACTATTGCGTCACTGGGCCAGCGAGATTGAGCACGGCCAGCGGAACGCTCAGAAGTGTCCAAAGTGCAAGGTGAGCTCACCTTTAGGTGGAAAGAACCAACACATGTGCACCTGCATGTCATTGAGTAATATTATTGCAACATTGGTGTGAATTGTAGGTATGACTTTATTATTCCAGCTGAGGAGAAGAAGTATATGTGCTGTTTCATTTAGAAGAGTAACTATATCACATAACTAAATTGCAAATTTTGTATATGAGCAATGTATATGCTTTTAGCATTACATTTCAAAATTTAGAGTGGTTATCTATACTAATAAAAGGGTAATATGCTAATTAGACCAGACATCCTTCCAGACAAAACCACGGTGGCAGAGGCCAAGGCAGAGGTGGTTAGGGGCGATCAGGCTAGCAGGGGAGAGCAGTTAGGGCAGGGGTGGGCAAACTTTTTGACTCGAGGGCCACAATGGGTTCTTAAACTGGACTCAGAAGAAGGAGCTGCAGCTGTGTTTCCTGACGTTGCCATCTTAACACTGCTGCTGGTGAAGGAGCGGAGGAGAGAGCAAGAGAACCCTCCACTCTTTCGGCTCCTCGGGCCGGATAGAACAGCCAAACGGGCCAGATCTGGCCCGCAGGCCGTAGTTTGCCCACGGCTGAGTTAGGGGGAGATCAGTCCGGCAGGGGAGGGCAGTTAAGAGCAGTCAGGCTGGCAGGGGAAGGCAGTTAGGGGCGATCAGGTCCTCAGGCAGAGAGGGTTTGGGGTGATCAGGCAGGCAGGCAAGCAGTTAGGATCCTGCGGTCCCAGATTGCAAGAGGGATGTCCACCGAGGGGGTCCCAGATTGGAGAGGTTGCAGGCTGGGCTGAGGAACCACCTCCCACTCCTGTGCATGAATTTTGTGCACCAGGCAGCTAGTATATAAATAATTGTCTTTAAACTTCCAAATTCTTCTTTTCCACTTACAAATGGAGATCTTTGTACAGGGTAAAGCTAGTATGAAAATGGTATCCACGTATTGTTTCCATTTTGCTACATGTATTATAATAACTTCTCCACTATGCAGGCTCTGAATCCTGCGACCCTTTGCTTGTCTTTCCCTCTGCCACTGCTCATCACTTAAGGGTTACAGTAAACTGATCATTTGCCTCTTGTAAATCTAAGCGCTAAAATCAGGACTTAGCAATTGTATGAATTCCATTTTTCCTCTTTCTCTTGATTATCATGCAAGTAAGCAGGGGTGAGCAGGTATCTGAGCTTTGACCTTGATGTTGAA